CAGTCTCTGGAGTGCCTTAACCTGATTTATGTCCTCCCAGCACTTAACCACCATGTGCAAGGCTTTATTACTGATGTTGGCTTCCCATTGCAACATAGACTCCAAACACCTTACCATGACTTACAGGGTGCTATGGGATCCGCTCCTACCTCCCTCTCTGACATTTTAACCCTCTACTCCTGTGGGGCAATCTCCCCTGCTGCCCCGCTCGCTGCCTGCTCCCTTCCAGCTGCACTGCCTTCCTTATGTTCCTGGAACACACCGAACATGCTTCCACCCCAGAACCTTTGCACTTGCTACACCACCTCCCTGGAATGCTACTCCGCATCGAGCTTTCTAGTGTGTTCTCTGCTCAAATGTCACAGCATCCGAAACCTTCCTTGACCATTGTATATAAAATAGCAAGCTCTCCATCATTCTGCATCCCTCTTACCTGTTCTATTTTTCATAGCATTTATAACTACCTGGTTTGTGTTCACATATTTATTTGCTGTGTGTTACCTGTCTCTCCTTACAAGGCTGTCAGCCTCTTGAGAGCAGGGCATTATTTTGTTCACTGTTGTCTCCTCCTGAGAGTCTCAGCTTCATTCATCCAGGGTCAGTTTGAGGATGGCTGGGTGCAAGGAGGCACTGAGAATACTCAGAGCTCTGGAGAGCCCCCTGACAACATGACAGTTGTTCCTGGTCTGTCTCTGTCACCTGCATGTAAGCTCCATACGGGCAATGACCAAGAGGCAGTTCCTTGCACACAGTAGGCGCCCAAGAATAGTTGTAGAATGAATAAATGAATGAATAAACGATAGAGGCCCTTGGATATTTAAAGAGGATGCTCCAGTTTTTAAGAGGAACTTTCTACGTTTTAAAACCCAAATGCAGAGTAATGGTATGAATTGTGGATGGAAGGGTGTCTTGTTTGGAGGCTGTTCCTAACATCTTTAAATCCTCCGCCCCCGCCTGGTAAAAACATTTCAGTGGCTTTAGAATAGAATATTGTTCTTAGAGTCAGAATGCATTTTCACACGGCCTCTCCCTGCCTCAGCCCATTCTCCTTGCCCTGGCCCTCAGCTGCACAGCTCGTCTTTCAGCTCCTCCTGCAGCCTGTTCTCTCCCAGCCCAGGGCCCTCACCTGTGCTGCTGCCTCTCCCCGTGGCTAACGCTTCCCCACCTCCCCATCTCAGCTCAAGCCCTACTTCTTCAAGGGAAGCCTCAGACACGGCCAGGCCCCAAGATGAGCTCTCAAATCACCAGGTTCCCCTCCCACACACCACCCATTGCGGCATGGACATGTGTTCATATGATTGTTTAGTTAAGGCTCCTGTGTGGAAGGAAATGTGGCTGTCTTTGTTCCACCGCGGAATGCTCTGGAACTTACAACTGCCTGGCACAGAATAGCCTTTTTATAAATATTTACTGAATAATTAATTAATTAATGATACAAAAGCTACTAACTGTTCTGTATAGCCCCAATTTTAGTAAAAAGCAAAAGACTTATACAATGTGAAGAGAAACCAGAGTATTATCCCCAATTTTAGGGTAAGGCTGTGAGGGCAATCATTAAGTCAAAGTAACACATTAAGCTCTCAGCCGCTTGGTAGTGTTCGGATATGACAGCTGCTATGGTATACAGGGGATAAGACCTAGGACAGGTGAATTTCCAAGAGCAGAGAAGGGAGAAGAGCTTCGGAGCTGCTGAGGGCTGTCCTCTGGCTTGAGCAGCTTCCTCAGTGTTTGAAAGTACAACCTTCAAACCAATGACAGAATGGTGGCTCATACTTTTTCTTTCTTTCTTTCCTTTTTTTTTTGTTTGACAACATTATTGGAATTTTCTTTGTGCCTTTCTACTAAAACTCAAAGGATAAGAATAAGGATAGAAGAGATCATTGAAATCAGCTCAACATAAAGTAACCTCTGGGCAGTCAGTTGTGTCCACAGTGAGCTGCCTGGCCCGTGTGTGCATGGTGGAGAGGGGGGTCCAGAGGTCAAGGCACCACTCCTCGTAAGGGATGGTGTGGAGGTGAGTCAGCCCTCAGGTAGGGGAAGGGGCATCTGTCTGGTGATCTTTAACATGCCTTTCCACCTGGGAAACCCCTCACAGCTCAAAGCACACCCACGCTTTCGGTTAGTTGAAAGATTTAAAAATACTGAAACCTAGGCCTCACCTGAGACCAATTAAATTAGAATATCTAGGGTAGAATCCGGGTATAAGTATTTTTAAAAAGCTGCTAGGTAATCCTGACATGTAGCCAGAGTTGCCAACCACTGTAAGACATGTAGTGCAATAGGCTGATTTCCTACTTCTTTCTTTTCTGCTGCTCATTCTGGTTCTCAGATAGGCTAAATGATCATAATGTGTTTGTTAGACAGATTTCTAGGATGGCCACCATATCCTGGTATTCCTGCCCTTGTGCAAACCCTGCCCCTTGAGTCTGGGTTGGACTCAAACTTAGATCAGCTTAACCGTCTAGAGGAAAATGGCCAACAGAATTGGCAGAGGGGGAAGGTGAATTGAAAAGCCCTGCATAATCCCAAAACTTGGGTGACCAATCTGTAGGTATCAAAGCCCTTTGCCACCTCAGGTCTTCCCCAGACTCTAGCCCCAACCCTGTGGGATGATTCGGGGTTGTCAGCCCCTTGGTGCTCTAAGCATCCTTGAAAGTTCTTTTCTTCAATGCTTCTGGTACTGCCTTCTTTTCATCTTCTTTTTACCTTGGCTGCCTCATCTGAGCAGGAGCTGGCATCACAGGCTCTGCCTTTCTCAGCTGTAGAAAATCTTCCTCTAAAAGTACAGCCAGTCACAACCACGTTCTTCACAGTGTGGCCATAGAAGCTGCTGATCCTGCTCATTATTACACTCATTACTATGGTGTGAGCTCAAGCACCAGGGACCAGATCTGGTTGGATGCCCTGGCTCTGGCCACAGGCTCTGCTGGAGGGGCCAGGGTGCCCTCTCTGTGAGGAGGCAGCAAATCAGGGCTTCCTGACCAATGGGGCTCTTGGCATTTCTTTAGTGCAATTTGGATCAGCAGGCTGATCAGTTCCTGCCCTCTTAAACTTCCCCCAAGCATCACAGAAACTACTCCAGGGATTCTATTCCATGTCCCCAGTTTCCCTCACCCCCAGAGGTGCCAGCAGCCCTTTTGTTGGTTTGGCTCTCCACTTAGATCATGGAAGTGATTTCAGATCCAACTGGGCAACACTCGGCATTTCATTTGTGTCTTGGCAAGGTTACCATGTTATTACTTAACTGTGCTGCTGCTACTCAATAAGTGGGAACTGATTGAAATAACCACAGGAGTTGCTGGATTCCCCTAATTTTAGCACAGAATTAAAGCTCACTCCCACAGTTGGAAGTTAAAATAGGCTTCCAGCCCACAGAAGTGCCCACCCACCACACCTAATTGTCACACGGTGGATGCCTGTCAGGGGAGGAAAGAGGGGAGCTGGGGAGAGCACTCCTAGAAGTGAGGTTCTTCCCCGTGGCAGATGCCTGAGGTCATTTTGGCCGGGCACGATTTCTTTGAGACCCTAAGCCTATAGAAATTTGCATGACTGCTGTAGATGCTCTAGTTTTCTTCCCCTGTTTGTTTAACAGGCAGACCAAGTATAGAGTGCACATTAGAGCATCTGCAGAGAACAGAAACTTCTGCTTGGGGGTGCCTCTTTAAAATGACTCATTCCTGGAGTCCAGATGTAGGGAGGGCAATAACCCTGAACAATGCAGATCATTTGAAAAGCTGAAAAATGAGACTTCATCCAAGCTAATTTGCTTTCTGTTGGTGTCATAGCAATCAACCACAACCCAAATGCCACAACTTGAAGAAAAATTAGAAGTAAATGGCCTCTTTGTAGCTTCCCCCACTCCTGAACACCCAATTTTTTTGATTTCTTACTACTGAAAACGATGTATTAACTAGATATATTTTGAAGACATTCTGTGAGAAGTTACTTTTCTCACAGTGTGCCTGCTGCTTAATATTTTTCATCACTGTGCAATTTTGTGTTATCTTGCACCTATTTTAAGTTATAATCTACCCTTAATATCTTAGTACAGCATAGTTTATCAGACTCTCAAGGGCAAAGTAAGGGAACAGAATGGGAGAATTTTTAAAGAAGGAGAAAAGGCTTTCACTGTGACATGTTTCCTGAGGGGACCCTGGGCAGCCCCAGAGTTCTGTCAAGGTCCGTTTATCAGCAGTGATCACTTACCTCCACCCTCTCCACTGCCATGGCCACTGTCCTATCCCAGGCCTCAGGGTACCTCAAGCTGGACTGTGCAGGAGCCCCCTGACACCCAGTTTGATCATTAGTGTCACATTAATCATCTTTAAAGGTATCTTTCCCCATGACACTCTCCTGCCCAAAAATGTTCAGTGACTTTCTATTGCCCATAGGATGAAGTGCAAATCCCCCAGCTTTCTTTCAATGAACTAACTTGCTCCTAATGACATGCGTCCCATAGGTGCGATTGCCCCTCCATGAAAACTCCTTTCTAGTCAGACTTGCTGTCTCCTTAACACACCTGGTCAAACTTACCTCCTTACCTCTGTCCACATGTACTCCACAAACACTATGTCTTTCTCTTCCTGCCTACCTTGCTGAGTCCAGCCAACCTTCCTACCTATCTAAGGCTCAGTTCACCTCTCTGCTTCTGTCTGTAGCCTGTCCTAATCTTTCCCAGCATAGAATAACTTATCCACTTTTGAATTTCTACAAGTACTTTTTGTACAATTGTCATGTTGATACTTTTTTTTCCAAGTCGACTCCTTGAGTGTCTTACCTTGCTGAGTCCAGCCAACCTTCCTACCTATCTAAGGCTCAGTTCACCTCTCTGCTTCTATCTGTAGCCTTTCCTAATCTTTCCCAGCATAGAATAACTTATCCACTTTTGAATTTCTACAAGTACTTTTTGTACAATTATCATGTTGATACTTTTTTTTCCAAGTCGACTCCTTGAGTGTCTTACCCCTTGTAACTATTTGCTAATTGATTATTTTTCTCAAAATCAGTATTTCGAGCATGCAAAATGTATAGGAGAGTTTGGATCTAAGAAAGGACAAGAGAGACAAACAGAGGAATGGGCCATTTTGCCTACAACCGTGATGCTCTCAAGGCTAGCTGGCTGCTCTCTAAAAATCTATCCAAATCCCCATTTTGGAAATTGTGTTGTGACAAAGGCCCACAACTGTGATGTTGGGATCACTTTCTCATGGAGTTACAGTTGTTGCCTTCCAGGAACCCATCATGGTAAGAAAGAGACTTGGGATGATTAATTTTTTTGTAAAGCTGCGAGAAAATCAAATCCATGACCATATGTATTCACATGTTTACTGAAACAGGCCAAGCTCAGAACTAAATGATGAAAATGAAAATTAATCAAGGACTCCCATGGGCCTCACATATGGCAGTTTTGAATCTTTATTTTTCCCCATGGTCATAAATGTTTTTCTTACTCATTTTCTTTGGTTAAATATACAACTGTAAAAAAAAATGGGGGTAGTGGTGGTGATGGAAATGAACAAACCTATGGAAAGAGTGAAACATCTATAGAGATAAGATTAGGAAGGAAGGAAACAAAAGCAATTTCAGTATCTCTGTGCAAGGCCTGCTTACCTTCCCTTGCCAATACCCCCAGATCAGCCTGTCTCACTAGGTAGCAGGTGCTTCCTCGACTCACACAGGAAAACAAGCCCTGGGCCTCTTATGCTGTTAAGGCGAGTTATATCTGGCACATAAACACCATGCCCTGCTCCCCTTCTATCCTTCCCAGAAGAGATAAAAATGATCAAGTGGTTGAGAAAAGAGTCTGAGGAGAGGCTTTGTGCCTTTTCTTAATTCTTGGGGATTTACAGTGAGAACCAGGTTATGTCCCCTTTATTGAATTTTTTTGGAAAGCCAAACAGTGATAGAAAACAAGCAACCAGATATATCATGAATATCGTGCCCCAGAACATCATTTACCTTGGTAGAATGCAACCACTTTAACACACAGAAACTTTTTCTTTTCACACTAGTTAACAAATAGCATTTAGCATGATTCAAGTCAGATTTTAAAAACTTATCTGTTGCCTCTCATTAAGAATTGAAACCTGTATAAGAATCTTGCTCCAGGAAACTGTGTTCTGACATTTTAATAGTATTGCCTTACCAAAAGTAGAGAAAAATCCATGAACTTAGATTCACAGAAAGTAAATCAAGAATTCAACCCAAATGGAATGCCTCTTTCTGAGTGATGGGGTGGTTTTCATGTGAGATGTCAATGTAGCTTCTATACTTGACATAAAAGTTCTCATTTAAGAAAAACTAAAATACTGCTCAATTTTTTTAATCAAGCAGAGTTATCTAAAGTGCTTTTTAGAAGAGACTATCAGGAAAGGAATGGAAGGTAGTCATTATGACTAATCAGCTGTAGGAGTTGGGGTAACCAATACAGTGGGGGGGACTTCAGAGCCCCGGGGACATTTCAGCCAGCTCGATTCCTCCAATTGTTTGCAGTGATCCTCTAGAAGGAAGACAGTGGGTTAACAGGCACCGGAACAGATAGAACGCACTGCCAGCTGGTAGTTTACTCTTGTAAACGAAGGCTGCTTTTCTAACACAATTCTTTGTTGTGCTAGAGAGAAATAAATATATAAAAGCCTCAAAGTAAGACTTCAATTCTTTATGTCTGGCAAAATTGTCAGTACAATGTGCCTTGAGGATATGTCCACAGCGCTTGCCTGGCAGGGTTGTTGGAGAAGAATAAGCTCACACTATAATAACCACCCCATACACTTTACAGTTTATAAGGAACCTACATATACATTTTCTCAGCTGAACCTCACAACACCAGCGGGAGGCAGGGAAGGCAGATATTATCATCTCTTGAGAGGGGGTGACCTTGCTGCTGCTGCATATGTGCGGCTTTTGCTTCAGCAAGACTTAGTTGACTGTGCTGTATTTTCAAGTATTTTATATTATGCAAGGATGTTTATTGAAGAAATGTTTAAAACAAGGAGACATTGCAACCTACCTGATTATTCACTAATGGAGGACTGATTCAACTATGGTGCAGACCTAGATGGAATACCAGGAGCCATAAAGAATTTTGATTTAGAGTTATTAGAAATAAATTCATTGATGTCGAAGTATATGTATTGATGAAGGAAATTGTTCATGATATATTTAAAACAGTAAACAATAGTAGATGCATTATGATCCCTTTGTGATAAGAAAAGACATGCGTGGTATAATAGCAGTTCTCTTTGAGTGCTGAGAATATGTGTGATATTTGTTTTCTTCTTCATGCTTATCTATCACTTCTAATTTTAGTGTCAATGCCCATGAAAAATGTACTACTCAGCATTTTCAACCAGACTAACTTTTATAATAATAATTAATGGAAAGATACAGTACTACCTCTGGCCTCATGGGGAGAGTGATCCCCGTGTGTAGGTGTGTGTATCAGTCATGGGACCTGGGGCCGACCAGATGGCACACATGAAGAGGGTAAATTAAGGCGTACCTTATATTGCTTTGGAAAGAGAAGGGGGGGCAAACAAGGGTGATGAGGACCCCAGACACCAACCACAATGCGAAGTTATGACCACCCCCAGGCCGAAGGGACAAGAGGAGGAAATAGAGATACCAGAGCTCAAGGGACAGGAATTGTGGAGGAGCCATCCCCGCCTGGGAGCTGCAGTAGTGAGGGTCACAGCCTTTGCAAGACACCAATGATGCAGGGACGAAATAGCCTGGCCTCTTTTTTCCTGTCTTCTTGTTTCCTGTGGTGCCTCCCGTTGACCGAGCCCAAGTGGAGGCCAGCTGGCAAGGGAGTCTGGGCAAACAGCCCATAGAGGTCAGCCTCCTGGTGCACATTGCAGGGCACAGAAGGGCAGAAAACAGGCCTGACGGTAGGGCGTGTGCAGCAGACACGGTGAGCAGAACACCAGGTCAGTCGCCAGGAGAAAAGGGGTGTCTCTTAGTCAGGAAACTGAAACAGAAAGGAAGAGCCTGTGGGGTAATATGGGCTGAGTGATTTGATTTTTCTGCCTGTGCTCAAAGCTTCAAATGTTCGGGGATGGGATCGCAGGTCACCTCGCCCAAATGGAGCACAGAAGTTCTTTGTGGAAATTTATACAGAGATAAAATTGTGCACCTTTGGACAGCGATAATATCATCCCTGCTGCTGGGGTGGGGAAGAGGGGACTGTCAGGGAAAGGAAGACCCAAGTCATCCCAAATCTACCTCGCTGTTTCCTGCTGTCCCCTCTCTACTCCCTGCCCTCTTCCACTTCGGTGTCCTCATTACCAGCCCCAGATGACAGCGTAACAACAATAGCAGCGGTGGCTCACATTTACTGAGCACTTACCAGGTGGCAGGCACCGCTTGCTCTAACATGATTAACTCGTTTAATTCTCCCAACAACCTTATGAAAACAGTGGCATCGCTCACCACTCCACTGAGCAGCTGGGAGCGTGGACAGTGCAGGCAGGTTGCCAGGGCTGGAATGCTGCCTCTGCCGTTTCCCAGCCGTGTGACTCAGTTTTCTCAGCTCTAAAATGGGGACAATAGTAGTGCCTACCTCATGGGATTATCACAGGATTAAATGAATAAATATGAGTAATGTGTTTTGAACTGGGTTAGGCAGATAAAGCAGTCAATAAATGTTAGTTATTGTCCCCAGTTCCCACATAAGGAAACTAAGGCACAAAGATTTTAACATATTAGCCTCAAGTCACACAGCTGATAAACAGCAGAGCTGGGACTGTCACTGGGAGGTGGGTTCCTGGACACTGCTCTTAATCACGATCCAGTTTTGCATAAAAGGGCCCCCTCATTCCCTCTCTGCTGCTTTAAACCAGATGGGGTGGGATCACACTCTCCACCTGCCTAAGGTGCAAAATGGGTCCCTCACATTGTGGAATACCCTCCCTACTGTCCCACTGATGATCTACAGAAATCTGTCCGTCCTTCAAACCTCAGTTCCTCCAGGCAGAAGGAGGAGTGTAGATCCTCAGCAGTGAGCAGCCGGCAGACAGGGGCAGGTGAGTAACTGCTTCTTCATCTCATATTTCTTGAGATCAGACAGAATGGAGACAAGAGTTGTGAGTCTTTCGGGGCCCAGGTCAGCCAGGTGGGGACTCAGTTTCCAAAATGTGCACCGTGGAGAGTCATGGCAAAATTGTGCTCCAGCTTAGCTACCTATTCTGGGCCACAGGTGGAGGTGCGGGCAGACTCCCTCCCTGCACGAGGGTGTCGAGCATATTGCCATTATCAGTTAACCTGCAAACCTATGTAGGGTGAGTGGCAGTCACCTGGGTGAGATAACAAGGAAAACATTGTCGAGGTAACTGACAGAGCTCAGGTGAGAATTCAAGAATTCTTTAAGCCTAGTGCGGTTTGTTTTATTTCTTGCAAATTAGCTTACCTGCATCTCTTTTTTGGCTTCCTCTTAGCTAGGGGCTTTATAATGAGATTTTTTTGTCAGTCCCATCTTTCATTTTAGAGTGAAATGTGATCGATTACCACCTACAACAGAACACACTGAAAGCTGTGTCGCCAGTGAGGCAAAAGGCCCCAATGTAATGTCCATGGCTTGTTGAAAACACAGCAATCAAATGCCCATTCAACAAATCTCTTTTCCTTTTATTCTTTTTTTCCCTTTTTCAAAAACTGGTATTCAATGTATATTGAAGTAATATAAATGCAACAACGTGTCCTCAGTATTACAGGCGCCTAGTAACCAAAGTCAAAACAGATTTCCTAGTGTTCATAAAAACAGAACCCCCTCCAAAAACACCATGCACAAGGGAAAAGTGTATAACTTGTTTGCACAATGTGGGTTGCAGCTTCATTTTCTCACTTCCCTCATCTTCATAAAGTTGCTTTTGGGAAAGGGGTCATTTAGTCAATTATAGCAGTTCTTCACTTGAAAGTGAGATGGGTCACAGATACCGCCCAACATTGCCACGATGCAGAAGTGGTTCTGGACTCAGTTTCCTCATCTGTAAAATGGACAGGTTGGCCTAGCCTTAGTTAGTTTCTGAAGTTCCTTTCAACTTAGGAAGATATGTAGTTTTCTCACTAGTTCTGGACCCAAGGGCTTTAAAGTATATGCTGAGCTGTGTTCTGAGTCTTTAATGAATAACCTAAAAAGATATGTAGTTTTCTCACTAGTTCTGGACACAAAGACTTTAAAATATATGCTGAG